AAAAAAGCAGCTGTCAATGATATAAAAAAGTTTGGACTTTAATTAATCGTGGGGAATGGTTGTGTATAAAGTTGAAAAGTAGTACGTTTTTAACCTGTTGTGTTTGGTAAAATCTCGTGATTTCAAATTGTCGAAAAGTTCTTTGGAATTTTTATGTATCCACATCTGATTCACACCACTTCTTGAATATATTGTTGCACAGTACTCTTGAAGTTTTTCATTTACCACTGTCAATATCTTAGTGAGGAATAACGAAAGCGGCTTGGTTGAACATTTACTGGAACCCGCAATGTATCTTTGTTTGTAAGGATTTTTATGAAGTTTCGGAATCCGATATATATAGGGTAGTTCAAATTCATTTTGGCTCTCTGGAATATTAAAAACATTTAAAGCTGACATATGATTTTGAAGAATTTCTTCCTTAGAAAGGGAAGTATGAGTATAAGTAGGATTACTACTTGTAGAATTAAATCCAAGTTCTTCTAAAATATAATTTATATAATGAGCCTTACAAACGAAGACAATGTTATTACCTGCTTTGTCGGCACGGACCAGTACGAGAAAGAGAGTACCATAAAGAGAGTACCAGAGAGAGAGAGAGAGAGAGAGAGAGAGAGAGAGAGAGAGAGAGAGAGAGAGAGAGAGAGAGAGATTGTTCTTGCGAATATCAGTAACTGTAAATTTTTGAAGACAATGTCAGCTTACGAAAACCAGTATTGTACGTGTACATGAATTGACGTATTCAAAATTTAGCGGAATCAAGGGGAATTAATACAGTTTTTAGCGTGAATAGAGTTAGTACTACACATGTCCATGTCTTGTTTTGTATAAGTAAATGATTTTTAGCGGCATTCATGAATTAGCGCATTCTTGTACGCGCCAAAGCCGCTAAAATATTTCAAACATTTTAAAATTACTTACACTAACATGATGCGCCGTGTGGTAATTATTTCTATTTTAATTAACCACTTTATATTTTGCAGAAAAATTAATGGCTTTTAACTTTCAAAATTACGTAATTTTGAAAATGTTAAATATAAAGCTAAATATGGAAGTAATAATGATTGTCATGTGTCAGAAACACATCTTAAATATTCTCGGTTTCTTTCCTGTATTCTGCAATATCGTGATGTCATGCCAAAGATATTGTCATTCCACGATATTTTTGCATGCTTTTATATGTAATAAAAGCATGCAAAAATATCATGGAATGACAAAATCTTTAATTAATAAACGAACAAGTTCTATAAAGAAAGAGTGAAAATGTAGGCAATAAAAAGGAACCAAAAATTATTCAACACATAATTTTATTAAAACAATATCAATATTTTTGCGCATAATATATGCGTAAAATAAACTGGATTTCTTCCATTGGAATAAACCAATGTATTATGCACAATTATGGACAATAAATATTTATTACCTGTGTAGAAAGAAGACAACTACAAAAAGGAAATACTGAACTGCATTGTACCCAATCTATTTGGACAGTTGCATTATTCCGTTTAAATCACATCTATATAATCACTTAATAATATTACATTTAACAGATGCTAAAAACAGATATATATTCAAAACGTACAACACAAAATTTCAAGAAACAGTGCCCTAAGTCCATAAAGAAGGAAAATTGTATTGTTTATCAATCAACATTTACTGTAGTTCTCACTAAATTCGAACTTACACTCCAATAAGCACATTCGTCTGTCCCACTCGTTAAAGTACGGGTAATTGTGACAACTGTCTCTACACCCTTCTCTTTCCCTGATGTTCAAGGCTTTACATTCGCATTCGTTACTACACTCCGCAAACATGTTTTCACATTTTTTAGAGCATCTATTGAACTTCTTCTTGAAGGAGTTTGACATATAATCGAACCTGCAGCCCTTGTGACATTTTAGTCTATATGGGTAGCATTCGTGCTGGCACGGAGTCCTATCTCCTAGAACACAGAGGATGCAGATAGCTAGGGAAACAGCAAACAAGAGACGCATCTGAAACAAAAAATGGTCCAATGCTTTACAGACACATGTCCATGAAAATACAACCCCATCGGAACAATAACAGTCTGAAAAGTAAAATGTATTATGATTTTAGGCTTAAAAAACATGCAGGATATTTTCTAATTTAACTAGAATTTTTCAGGAAAATAAAAGAATTGAATCCTACTTGTATTGAAAATAAATATACATTTCTTCCACAGACAACAATTCAATGGTTTCAATGACTTTTACAGCTAAATATACAAAAGTAAATTACAGTTATTTTTAAACTTAAAAAATTATCCAGTTTTTTCAACATCTACAAAGAATACTGTTTTATATAAAAAAAAAAACCAAAAAGCTTTACTAGAGTCTTCTAATAATTCACCTGTATTTTGTAATTTGATTTGTTTTTATGATCCCAAAAAATCATAATATTATTTATGCAGTAAAATTAATTTAATGGCTTACACATTTTTATAAGTTTGAACAGACCAGCTTTAGATCTGCCTTACCTCTGTCGTGTTGTCAGCTACTTTGAAAAGTGGTGAGTGGAGAAAAACAAGATAAATATGTACCACATAAAAAGTCTCAAAGAACACACCGTAAATCATTCTCAATTAATATCATGTTTAAATCTGAAATTAAATTAAATTTGACGCTCTGTGGTCAGGTATGAATAAATTCTGCGTGACATTTCTCTTCCTTAATATGTCATGAACCGTAGCTATCCACGGTGTTATCATTACATATTTTCTAGGTTTCATTACTTATTTAATACATTGGATGTAAAATTATGGTCAGACATGTTAAAAATGGAGTCTTTTGGCGCCTATAATTAATATTATGGTTGGATGAGAAATATCAGGGCCATATTTAAAACATAAAACTTGAAAAAGAACAACTTTAATACGAGTTTACTTACAATGAATATTGAAAGATAACACAATAAATAAAATGAAAGAAGTTTTTCCTCAGTTTTAGCAGTAAACGAAGTAACATGGCAATTAATGACCCATTTAAAAAAGGTTTGGGTTAAAACCAAAATAAGTAAAAACGAAATATTTACTAAAAGGACTAACAATTGTACATAACAATTTCTACAAAAAACCTCTTGAGATATTCATTGAAAGAATATTTTTTATAACCATCACAAGAAAAGCGTTGAAATGATAAAAAAGGCTAATTAATAATTTTTATTATTCGAAAAAAAAATTGAAAAAATTAGATTTTCTTATTACCCTCATCAACAACATGCAATATCAATTATGCTGAATATTTTAAACAAATACATATAAAAGTAAGACATTGGAGCATAAATCATGCTGAGTGAATACTTGTTTTAAAATATCACCAGTCGAACAGCAATGTTAACTAATTATAATGCTGTATAGGGTCTGGTTTCATCATTCGGATGGTGCAATTCTTTTTACAATGTCTCTAGACGAATCAGCGTCCAATACTTAACTTAAAGGTATTACATAAATATTCTGATGTTTGGTGTAAACCAATGAGTTATGCGGATTTCATTTTATATTGAGCATCGAAAATTCACATAACAAATCATATCAATGGGAAAGTTCTCTATCTTTTGTAGAATCGGAAAGAAGATATTTTGTTCACTTGGAAGTCCGGGTGCAAGTATTTATTTTATGAAATTCCTTTTCTGAGTTTTAGTATTTTACACATAGACAAAAATGATATGTCCACCAATACTGTATTATTAACTTTTCTTCATATCTTTAAAGGGGGAGGCGAAGAAAAATATTTGATTTCAAACAATCTTATGGCTGTATTTCTATCAATCAAACGATGAAATAAACTTTAGTGAATCCCACTTTATTTTTTTTTGTAGTTTTATGTTGGAAACCTAATGTCTTCAGCAGTTTTCATTAATGAAAGATTTAATTCATTAATGTTTAAGAATAGTGGATTGACAGTCAGAGGTTCTAAACCTAATCTTTGGCCATGGATAATAGTGTTCTCATTCATCAACAAGAGACTTTCATTGAAATTAAGCTTTGGAAAGGGATTATTAGCTTACGCCCATTTGTTTTCTCCTCGGCAATTTTTTGAACAACCATGGCAATACAAACGAATTGTTTAAATTCATTCTCTAAAAAGGAACAGTCAAAGAGGACAAAACCAAATATTTTTATTGTTATGGAATTCTGGATGAAAATGAAAGAATTTCCGTACATTCATTTTATAAATGCCCTATTGATCATCTGTAGCTATCATTAGTCATCTGCAATATATATTACAATATATATTACAAGGAACGCTTGCTCCTCCTAGACACCTGAGGCTGATCTCATCTCTTGAATATCTAGGAGATTCGTGTTTATGCAGTCTTCATAGATTTGTACTGTTTAGATCGATCACGGTTCATTATCTTCCATTTCCATGTGTTAAAACACATTCTGTTTCTATGCATATGCACTTCAAAGTTCACATGAAAATATGCTTGAATTTCTGAGCGATTAATCATTGTTTTCGGAGATTACGTTTACCAACAGATTTTTGAAATTCGTAAGGGTATTAAATTTGGTCCTTCATAAGCAAATCTATTTTTACATTGATAGGAAAGCAAGATTAATATAAGTTTAAAGTTCAAGATAAGATAAAATTCTTCAATGTTTTGGTCGGTACAATTACTTTGTTTGCAAATACAAACTGTTATGAAGTCGCATCGCAGCTGATGTGTTTTATACAAATTTAATGTTATTATTATCACTATGATATTTTCTTCGTTTTCTTCTTTGTTTTCGAACAGGATTAACAACACATGGATAGAACAGGTCGAAACAAGATGATACTTTCTCCTCCACGGGCAACTGATCCAACCTCTGTCTTTAAAGACCTGTGTTGTCTCTTTAAATAATTTGTATTTTTAAATGGAAATTTTGAGAATGATCAATTAAAAAAAAAATAAATTAAAATTATCATTTTTTTTTTTTACATTTATCAAACTGTGGGGTTCTTCTGCTCGATTATTAAATCAAAACCAACTTTTCTGAAAACATTTTATTTTTTAAAACTATATAACAACAAAGGTATAAATAATGACTTCTTAGACACTCACTGAGAGTCGTCGTGACAACACCCACGAGATGTTAATCAGGTTAATAAGTTTAATGTACAAGATAGCGTCTTTCCTGGATAATTTAAATATATACAAAACATAATGCTAAATTCTTTATCCAACTATAGAAGAACAGACAATAAGCACTATTTGCGTTTTTACACCATAAATGTCCTATGTAATTCTAAAAAAAATCATTAGTATTCAAGTTCTGGGAGTTTTGGTTGGAAGACGACCGTGGTTAATATGAATATACATTTCTGGATGTATCAGTCGCAAGCTCTCACGATGAGTATAATGATACATACAATTAAAACAAGGGATACAGTTAAAACAAAACGGATAGACCATAAATTAAAACTGGATTGTACAAAGCAACAAAGTCTAGGTATACCTTCTCATCACTCAGAGTAAACCTAAATGCCAGAGAAGATACGATAGTTTTTAATCAAACATCATGATGGATGTCCGTTTAGAGTTTCTATATCATTGGGCGGCTGTCCTCGACCTCCCTCGCATATCTTTTGAACACCTTCATACTCATACTTGCATTCCTTTAAACAATGCGATTCGTCGAAGGAGCTCCTAAAACGGTATGCTCTGCATGCTTGGTCACATCCCACCTTCTCTCGTTCAGCGACAGCCAAGCATTCGCATCGAGGGGAACACATCAGAGATTTAGTCTCACATTTATCGGCACACATTAAGAATCTAAATTTCGAAAGGTTCAGCCAGAACCCCTCTTTACACCGGGACAAACAGTTCACCCTTCTTGGGTAACATTCGTCTCTACAGGATTTCCTCTGATTCGTTTGAGCGTAAGTGCTACTCACAACAAGGGAGGTAACTGTCAAACTGAAGACCACCTGAAAATGTTTTAATACATACATGTAGTCAAACATATTAAACCTTTTATTGTAAAAATCAAATTGAATATGTTTTTTTTTTAAAAAGATGACAAAAAATTATACGAATTGAATATGAAATGTTTTCATTTAAATGTTAAATGGAGACTTATAATTAATTGAAGTGAAAACATGATATGTCATTACTTACCCAAGAAATTCTTGTAGATGGAAGACTCCACATCTTGATAAGTGCTGCAATATAAACTGAAAATATGGGAAAGGGACGAAGATATATCAACTAAGGCTCGTAATTAATATTCTGTTATCTCCTAATTGCCATCATAAAAATAAGTTAAGCATGGGATGCGTAACATTAGGGCTGCTCTGAAAACCGTTTAAAATTAAATCAGCATGATTTCATTAATGTTCTTACAGGTTTAAGTCATTCAAATTTATTAAACCAAACAAAATGTTACATTTTAATAATTTTAAAAATATTACCAAAAGAAATAAAAAATTTTCCGATATAAATGCATTAAAAGTGAAAATAAAATAAGAATTTCTACATTCAGCAAAATCTTTTAAGATATAAAATTAAAACGACTTGAGCGTAATTTATATGATTTCGTCTAAGTACTTTTACAAGGTATAACAGATTACTTCCTAAGAAGTCACACATAGTTATTACATGATTAACCTAATCGTGTCTTTCCGTGACCTATCGGCAGAGGATATGACATATACAAGTCGTGTAATACACGGATCGAACTTCTTCATGTTAAGAAAATATTAATAGTATATATTAATCATAAATTTGTATTAAATGAAATATGTGATTATCTAAGTTATTATTAGCGTTATTTGCAAAACTTTCTCACAAATGCCACTAACAAACGTTTCGGAGCTTTGAGAATGTACACATGCACCGATTTTTCAATTAGTAGCACAATTCTTACGACTTCTGAAATGTTAATGTTAAGCAATTAAGGATTATTTTGTCAGTATTGTATGAGTGTATTAAACAAGGAGACTGTTCGTGTATCTTGCTTCATGAAAACTATGCCTACGTGCAATCTTGTGTATTACAATTTATTACTTAACTTCGAAACATACTTTATACTAACAATTTGTATGTTTACAAGCACAAAAATGTACTAAGGTTTTGAAATTCTCTCTGCCCTACATCTTTTTTTTTTATTTTAATAGCGTCCTTTTATCTCAAATGTGGCGGAAATTTAGAACGAGTTACACTAAATATTCGTGTACAAGTTATTGTGTAAAAAGGTATTATAGTGATCAGGATGTCCGTCCGTCCGTCTGTTACGCTTTGGGGTACCCAACTCTAATCGGAAACTCCTCTGATACCACTGAATGAAATTTAATGACACTTTCTCAGAATCATTGTGACCTTTGATTAAAAAAAACAATCATGTATACAAAAAAACCCCAAACGCTTTGGTTATTATAACTTAAAATTACTTTAAAATTGTAGAAGAAAATAAATCATATTTGACATTTTAATTTTGTCTTTTGGGTAGGGTATCAATATTTATATGCAAATGTAACTGTTTTATTATAATATTTGGCTTGTGCCACTTGAATGAGCAATAACATTCCAATTTATTATAAGGATAAAAGACCAACAATAGGCAAACCACAACATTTTTCGATGTTACTAAGCATTGTCTTCTTGTATCTCATTGACAATACACACATGTATGCGTTTAATTTTATCTGATGTTGTTACTTTGTCAAAGGGTTAAATTTTTCCCTTTTGCTTGAGAATTGTCTTAAATTATTAATTGTTCCTACCTAATTATTTTTGTCATTTATTTGCTACATACATGTATATTTGTATCGCAAAAGCGAAAAACCCATACTTATCAAGTGATTTATGATTGGTAATAAATCTGAAAAAACATGACAGCATATAAATATTGTTAAGTTTTTTTTATGCACAACAATTTAACTATATCCAATGTTTATGCTTTATATTGACAACGAAGTCATAGATGGAATGTTTCTAAACATAAATTATTATTATAATGCATGTGAAAGATGTCATACATTTGTGAAGGTTGGTTCGCTTTCTTATAAAAAAAGAAACATTAAATGTGACATTTAACGACCGATTTCACTCAAAATGTCTTGAAATGCACTCTCAATCTTTCCATTATATTTAATAAATACACAAATATATGTTTTTAAGGAGAAAGTAAGTGATGAATGAGATTAAGGGATGTCAAAATATTCACAAATGTAATTTAACATGGACAAAATATAAACTTTTATGTAAATTATATCATATAAATAGAGAACTATTGCATTTGAGAGAGAGAGAGAGAGAGAGAGAGAGAGCGAGAGAGAGAGAGAGAGAGAGAGAGAGAGAGAGAGAGAGAGCGAGAGAGAGAGATTTGTATTTGGTATATTTTTTAATTACAGCTATGTAATATCTAAAAACAATTTGGAAACGATAATTTGTGTTCTTTCTAAATCATGCATTTATAATTACAATTCAATGCATTATTTATACATAAGTTTTATTTGCAATTATGGTCATAGGTTTCTCATAGTTTGGAACAGTTGAGTCTTTATTATATCTAATAATTATATTGTTTTGTTTGTATATTTTTGTTTCTTTGTTAGTGGTAAAATATAGATTAAATTAGATTTTGGATTATATCTAAAAGAATGTTACATTATTGTTTGTCTTACATGTAAAACTTTCACAAACCCAAGAGCCCAAATGTTTGCAATCCAACGCTAAATATATTATCCAGAATGTTTCGTTAAATGTAAAAATATATATTATTGTGGTTTGTAAATCTGTAAATACATTTTTCTGTGACGTAGGAGGGTTAAGTTTAATATAATTTTTTGAATTGGATCATTGTCGTGACATGGAAAGCGATTATTATTATTTGTGTTTAACCACACCACACTCCTACATACTTAGAACGATGTCATATTAATCATAGTTTAACGTGATCAGATTTGTTCTTTCAATCATTACAGTTGTAAACTTTGTTGCAGTGACGAGTAGGAACATGAAAAAAAACTAATTAATCGGAAGGATGACTCATCTCAAAATGAAATATGAACTTTAAAAAATTGATCTTCCCAAATGCTCTAAAATATATTGCATTTTCAATTCTTTAAATCTAGAAAAGAAATAAAACTTCAAAAATTGTAATTATCTTATTCTAACTTTTATTCAATTTATTAATCAGTTTTGATACATCATCGTTGTCTCGTTCTTATATTAAAATGTTTCCCCAATTATTTTCAACATTTGAGAGTAGACAAAGCTAAACACACATTGTATGTACAACACAAAATGGTGTAAATCTACCCCTCCAGGATCCGCCTCTGATGTTTTTGAGGAGGTCTGTGTTTGTTCTGCTCGCGATTTGTTTGTTTAAATGTACTTATGTACAGGAGCTTGGAAACTAAACTGTTTTTGTTATTGAAAACTATTTGTTATTCCAATATATTGTCGACAAAGACGACGGAATAAATTATGGTATTAGTTAAATAAAAATTTATATATTGCCAATAAGAATATATAGAGCATTTATTTCTCTATTAACTTATACATGTAAATACATGTATAAAATATAAAGACTGATATAATTAATACGATATAGACCTTCACAAAAAATATGAATTTGTCGAAGCAAGAAGATTCAAACAGAAGCAAACTCAGGAATGACAAATTTAAATGTACTCAGTAAGTTGTAATTATTTAAAGCAAACATAAATGTAAAATAAGCAAAAAGGACTTGATTTTGTGGCTTATGATTGTATAACTTTTATTTAAGTATAAAAATTACACGCGCACATTTTATAATATTTGGATTAACTGAGTTAATGGGTATCTTTTACCTATTTTTACCACTTGTAAGACAGAGAAGGCAGAAAGAAAATAATATTAAAATAAATTTGAACATTAAAATGTATGTTTGACGTCATACTACATATTTATAATCTTGTAGTTACATAAAAAGTTCGTTAATAATAGTTTATGCAACTAAATAAGTAGAATTTGTCGTGCTTTGCCCTTTAAGATAAAATCTGACTAGCAATAGATATTCTTTTTTTTAATAAAAAAAATTGAAAATAAGATAAATCATATATGGGTTATATTTGGAAACAAGTTTGGTATTTTCAATAAATCAGAGTTTTCACAAAAATCTTAACATAAAAAAATATTTAGGTTTGTCCATTAATTTTAACTTCACTCCATAATAAAGTTGTATGTTTAAAACAACAATTTGAATGACTTTTTTAAAACAGAGTAGTCTAAAGCAATTTATGTTTAAATTTCATATGTTAGAAAAAAAGGTTTAGCAGATCTACAATCCACATAACTATGCAAAATACATCCATATAAAAATCAAATTTTAAATATAGATGTATACATTTATGTAAAAAAAAAAATGCCAGTGGAGAGCTGCAAAGTTTAGGCCTAGACCATTAGGCAGTGTGGAATAAAAGGTTTTGTAAGGTTATTGATAGAACTTATTTTTGGTCATACATGTTAAAAATTAATGACATGATAAAAGTAGCCTATTTTTTAAATCAATGATCATCCTTTAAAAAAAAAATCGAGCATGTAAACATTTATATAAAAGTTACTGTGCTTCTCAAATGGTATTTCTTCTCCTTGCATTCAATTAATGTTACCATAATGATAAATCAAATATGCTTAAATATATGTATATATATTCTTATGAAGCAGAATAGCTATTGCACAATCTTGCGAAAGCAAGAATGAAAGAGCAATATGAAACAGCTGGTGACATTTTTTTAGGGACACATACATAATAATAAAAAGTACGTGAAATATTAAGTATCAATAAACATAAATAGAAATTAAGATTAAGTGTTCATTTATATCCATGCCCTAGGTTGGATGATATATGAAGACAACAAGGTGTTGTTTAGTTTTATCAAAAGTTAAAAGTTGACAAATTGCAAAAATCAATTTATAGAATAATTTACCTTTACTTTTACGTTCATTATTAAAAATTAAAAATTAATATTATCAACAAGAACAATTGACTTAATTTACTTAAATGATCTCGAAAAAGTTCGTTCAACCAAACACTGTGTAACCATTAGTTAGAAAATCTCACTAAACGTATTGGATACGATTAAGTAAATATAGATAATTCCATCTGGACATTTTCTTTACATTCTTTATTTTGTATTTTAAAACAAGTTTTGAAGGTCATACTATGCACGATTTTTCGCCTTTTTAATTTTATTTTAAACACTTGAGT